CTGTCGAAGGAACGAGTTCTGCCCAAGTGCTCATTCAGCCTAAGCATCCCTGTGCAGCCAAAAAATGGGCAAGAACGTTCCTGCTGAGCGGTTGGGAGCTCCTCCCAAACGCGCAAACGCGGTTGCGATCCGACCGACAAGGCCCTGGGCCCCGAAGGGCTGAACTGAAGCCACCCCTATGTCCGCAACCCACGCGCGGCCCGCCATCATGTTTTCCATGCTGACCGTCTCGTACAAGGGCAGGATCTCGAAAACACAGAGCGTCACTGCCACACCAACGGCAAGGGCCCAGCATAGCCTCAGCGTGTGCATCTTCGAGGCGTAGATCATAATGCGAATACGTCAATATATAATGATGAAGAACAGGGCCATTCCTATACTATAGCAAAAGCTCCAAAACTGGCATGGGATTAAGCGGTGCCAGACTCCTAGCCACCCCCCACAACGGAAAACAACCAAATGCTTCAAGCAAGCTGGTATGGGGGGAAAACTTTCAAGGCAGCCTAACACATGGACAAACACATGGACTAAATTCGGATAGTCAGCCAGGACCATGGTTGCGGCAGCTGGCTTGGACTTGGGAGCAGGAGGGATCTCTTCCCCATGTAAAGAAACTGCCCTCGTGACATCTTGTGACATGTGCTCACTGTGAATCACACCAGTCCAGTGGTTCCGAACAACTGAAAAAGAGGGACTTTTAACAGGAACGAGCTGGGCTGACTGGCTGGCTGGCTGCTTGCCCTTGGCGGGCGAATGGACTAAGAGAGGCTGGCTATCCGTCTGGCCGATTCCTCCCCTATTTGATCCTGAATGACGATCTGAGTGAGTCGGGGCTAACAGGCGAACGAAAAAAAAAAAGAAAAAGGAAAAACAAAACTGTGCTTGTGCCGGATTAGGCTTTCAGTCAGTGCCGTCAAGTCAGGCAGCAGGCACAATCCTAACACACACACACACATCCACACACGATTTGCAGCAGAGAATTGCAGACGTGCCAGGTGGCATTCCTTTTCTGCGCTGGGACGATTGTCTGAGATACATGGCTAGCGCGACTTGGGCTGAGGCTACGAACATGGGAAGTCCATGCCAAACGTTGAGGCTCCATGCTGCCAGCCAAAAATGCGCATGTCTGAAGTCAAAGTGGGACGTGCTCTTTGTGAGCCCGAATTGCCCAACAAAAAGCTAAACAATTCCATGGATAAAACACCATTGCACTAAGTGATTGACGATACTCTTGCGCTTGACGCATACTCTCCAGCTAGCCCCAAACTCAAACGCGCTGGCTGAAGGGGGAAAAGGATCACCCGTACAACGCTTGGGAGGGGACTGCCAGGGCGCAGGCACATCATCAAGGAGTCCTGCAGGGAGAGCGCCATAAATTTCCACCAGCCCGCCGTCATCCAGGTGTGCGAGAAGAAAACGTCCAAGCTGCTGGTCGGCTGCGCCCGGTTCCACAGGGCTTCGCACTCCTATTGTTGACACACACGCCGAACAACAAATGCAAAGAACAAGTTGGAGGGCAAGCAACAACCGTTGCGTTAGATTTCCAACATTGCTGGAATCCGGACTCCGGCTCAGGCAAACCATCAAGCATCAAGCAAAGCCAGCAGGCCGAGCATCATCTGCTTGCCAACATCATGCCGTAGCGCGCGACAACCCAAAGACGTTGGCAAGCCGACAATGACTTTGGTGATGTGGGACAGCTCAAGGCGCACAGGCAATTCGCTGGGGCCATCTGCATCCAAGTTCTACCCTTACAACCAGCGACTGCCCTATTATACTTATTTACTCTGGACCTCGGAATTGGCATAGTTCCCTGACTTGTGACTTGCCAGGTATTGCGACTACAGGCGAGTGGATATACTCCCAACTTTCCGCAGCGAATCCGCAAAGCGTAGCTTACGCATCACAAAACTAAAACGCATTGGACACGGCCGGGAAGAAAGGAATCCCACAAAAAAAAGAACTCCCCGAAGTGTATCTGGGGGCGGGTTCTCATTGTCAGAAAAAAAAGGAAGCCGGACTGATATATCATCCATGTTGGAAGCATATCGACCGAAGATGTATACACCACCCCGTCCACGGGAGAAAGCTTGGATGGCCGTGTCCGCCACACCTTCCCGGCAAAGCGCAGCGTCTCCTGAAGATTTGCAAATGAGATCTGCCTCTGGGGGCACCGCAGCACGACATGCAGGACTGAGAATACCTAACATGTGAAAGCCTCAACAAAAACAGGACTGAAACACTTTCCTTGGGGAGAGGTGCAGGATTGCAAATTTGTTGCCTGTTGGACTTGCGCAACCAATCAAATAATCAACATCCACAAAGAGACTGCTGGCGCTGGATCTGCAGTCGACAGCGCAATATCCAGGCACTCCACTAGTGGATTCGCTTACCAACATTCACACGCGCCCACGGTCTTTGGCAACATGAAATGGCCAAGGGTCACAAGCCCGTCCCCCAGTGAACATCCCAACCCCCACTGAAATAGACTAAAATGCGTGGTGCACCCTACCCCAAAATGGGATCCCATTGGTTTTGACCCACAGCCAACTGGCCCGCTCCTTCAGCGGGATACCACGGAGAATCTCCTCGTCCACCTGCAGGTGGGAGGACGTGGCCAACCGCTGCAATTTGCAGCTGCGCTCATAGTCCAGACTCCGAGAAATTCCTGAGACTTGCTGCTGCAATAGGCAGGGAATCAGTAGGGTGGGGCCACCCATTGGTTTAAACATGCTTAAACCACTGGTTATGATGATTCTTCCCTTGTAAAGGTGGTGTGTAAGCCATATTTTGCCCCACCCAGGGAATCAGGGAACCCCGGCAAAAACCATTGTGCATTCCGGTTTGAGGGACCTCTAGGTTCATTCCCTCATTCCCTACTGGGCACCAGGCTCCAGTGCAAGACCAATCTGGGAAAGATCAAACTGCCTATGGCCAGATGTGCAATGCCTAGAGAATGTCGTGAAACAGCACATAGCACACTCAACATGGCAAGCATGCACTGCCATATGTTAGGGTGGGGGCATACGCTGAAGCAGACACCCTTGGACATGACGCGCTGAAATACCCTGTTTCCAACCATTGAAGTGGGCGAAAGGGCTTTATAGACGGCCTTTTTGTCGAACAGCAGAACACTGAGCTCCTCAAGACATGAATTCAGCAGAGGAATGTCCTGTTCATCAGCCCCGAAGGCTGATGGCAACATGCTGCCACCAAGCCCGAAAGCGAACGCGGTTATACATGAGTAATATATGTTTGAAGGGCTTTGTCCCTTTCTGCCAAGCCTTGTGAAGACATGCCATCATGGGTCAAGCATGCGCTCAGACCGCCGCAACCCTCCAAGCCATGTAGACCATGAAATTCAGATGCTGGGATGTCTGCACATACTCCATTTGCCCACGGCCAAGGCACCGGATGACAATCCTAACTCATCATTTGGCGAAATCGGACCGAAAGGATCCATGTCATCTTCCGCAGTTGACACCTGCACGGTTGCATTTTCACATACCAAACATGTTGTCCAATCACAGCATTGAAGCCAAGGGTGCGGTCGAAGGAACACCAAAGGGCTCCCCCCCAAACTCAGGGGTCCTATGGAGTCTATCCGTATTGGATCGCCTGACGCTCAACTTCTAAAGGTTGTGCCTCACATGTCTTTCACTTCGAGTGAAGCCTTCCTTACGTGTAGCTTCTCAGTTGAAAAAATGCCAACTGCCGGGGGGCAATGGCAGGCAAAAGTATTGGGCATTAACAAGGGGGTATGTCAGCCATGCAGAAGCGTTGCAAGTGCATGGCTCATCACGCCATTAGCCATCTGCGCGTCTCACACTCAAAAATGAACTTGCCAATCTGAGTGATCTGTACTGCGAGGCGCCTGGTACTGCCCGATGTAACAACTGTGCTCCCCAGAAAGGCTAGCTGCCATCTGGGCACCGCCGGATGGCCACCGTTTTCAGCTGTTTCGTTGCCGTTGCCGTTGCTTTCTGACAAAGAAACCAAGACCTCACCACAGCCATAAATGTCTGCAAAGGAAATGAACTACGGCCCTGCACTCTTTCGCAGAAGTTGACAAGTTGAAATGAAACACTTGCTCGCACCAGCCCCGGACAAGAAGTATATCGAGCACCAGGGATGTGACCGGAGTGGCTTCCGTAGGTACACGCCTGTGAGCCTAACCAACGCAAAGGCAAATCGACTATTTGGAAACACGCAACCTTCGACACCATTGTAGGGGTCAAAAGAAAAGGCGCCGACAGGAAAGTTGGAATTGAGCATGTTAGTACGTTCAAGGTTTTGTTGAATGCTTTGTTGAATGCTTTGCTTTTTTCGTGAGGTTCAAACGGTGAACCGAAATGAAATCCATAGGAAATCCATAATGTGTTGCAATCATACAGCCCTGGGAGCAATTGATAAGGCAATGTGACTCGTAAAGTAAACAGCAAATGACAAGACACATCTGCAAACTGCGCAGCTTCCGTTCCAAGTCACCCGGCTCCAAAGAGCCCAAGTCGGGCCTGCTGCGTCTCCGCGGGAGGCGGCGTATCCGCCGCGCAGCAGCTGGAGGAAGTTTCGCCCATTGCACCCGAGAGGTGGAGTGGCCCGGGGGCTGGGCCCGCCCTGCACGCCTTCGATTGACGAAGGGCAGGCCGTCGCTAGGGCCGAACGACGAAGACAGGGCGCGAGTTGCGAGGCGCATCGATCGCAGAAAGTGTCAAAGCTACGGAACGGAGCACGGGAGGTGGTGAGCCGGGGGTGGGGGTTTCAACAATGCAGGAAGTGCACAATTGTCATGCATTTTGGCCTGAAACCAAGTCTATTCCAGCCTGAAGAAAACAAAGACTATTGTATGTGAGCAAATGTTCCAGAAGATCTCTCTCTGTCTCTTCAGCTAGGCCTGGATAGCAAGTGTCCCGGCTCAGTCCGTCTTGAAACGGTGACCCAACGCTTTCCCACTGCGTGAAGCTGCAAACGTGCCGCCACAGCTCCCCTAGGGCCATGGCCAATAGCGTGTCGAAAATGAACCACCTCACGGCGCAACCACCGCTCGCGAGCGAGTGATTCAGCGTGCCACGGCCACGCTAAGGAGAAAGAACGCATCGAACAAGCCACGGCAAAGGTTCTCAACAGGGATCCTTACGTTATACACCTGAACATTGCCTTGTAAATGGTAGTGCCCCTTTATTTTGGTGGAAAAAGCCATGTTTCAAATGGGCAAAATGCATCTTTTAAGGAGCCCTGCTCAACTTCACGTCCAAAACCAATCATTTGGGACAATGTTAGCCCGCCATGTCCTCAGCCCCTTGGCGTGACTGGAGCAGGGAAATGCAAAAGCAAGGAAACGCAGATCCGCATGTGTCCAATATGAAGAGGCAGTTGCACGAAGCACCAATACGAGTAAGCCCCTGTGCATTGTCATTCTAATGAAGCCATGGCACAGAACCAAGGTGAAAAGCCTTCTGCATTCCATATTTGCACTAGCAAAGCTTTCGGAGACTCTGAGCTGGATGGGCCGCGTCTTGCGTTTTCTAATTCATAGATACCACGGGTGCATCCAGAAGTGCTCACAGTGCTCACACAAAAAATGGGCTGTCCTCAGATTCCCTGCTAAAAGTTTAACTTTTGGTGGGTTAAATGGAAATCCCCACTAGACACTAAAAGCTAAAAGGCCAAGGGATGACTGGGAGCCACCAAGAAAAATGGGTGCACCCGTCTCTTGTCAGGGACCAATCATTGTCACGTCCCCAATCCCCCCACGGCTGCATCGCCGCCTGTCTTTCAAACAGTTCCACTTGGACTCGAAGGCGCCGAATCCTTGGCGCTGCGCGGCTGAACGACACTTCATGCGCATATGGCACAGCTGACTAGTTGCCTAGGTCCTCCAGTAGGAGAGGTTTGAGTAAGGGTACCAACTTTTTTCTGTAGTCTATTTTAGTCCTGGGGGACCTAGCTGCGAATCAACTCTGGACGATTGAGGCCTCCAGGGCCACATGTGAACAAACGCAACACGCCTTTGTGGAACGTGTTCGCGGGGATAAGATCCAACACTCTCTCCAGCAACTGCCTAAAATCCGCTTATGCTAATTTCTTGAGTGTGTGATGAAGGCGCTCTTGGGTCTGGAGTCAATGTCCTTCTCCATTCCTTGCCAAAGCCAGGGCGTTCAAGGCCAGCATGTTGCGCTGACAATCTGGGGCTTGCCCACTACCTGCCAGCCATCGTATGCCTTTCTGAACCTTCCAAACATGATTCCAACAAGTGGGTGGGCTGCAAAAAAGGAACAACGGGCCACCCCCAACCTCCAAATTGCGATAGCGTGCGCGCCAGCTCCTAATATCATGGCTTTCCATGGCGCCATAAGAAATGCTCACAAAACACCAACTGATGAATCATGGGCGCGCGAGGCTGCACGTGACGCTCGTTGGTTCCGCTCCCGGGTTCGGATCAGGCCAGGGCTCGGATCACCAGCTCCGTGGTGAAGTAGAAGCAGAACAAGTTGTCGAACACCTTGCGCGACAAGGAATACGACTCCTGCCGCCTGCCTTCCGGCTTGCAGCAACCCAAGTCCCGCTAGCAAAAAGTCTTGCAATTGTTTCTTCTTCTCAACAAGTCAGACCTTGACCAAAGCCCATTGTTAAGCACATGGATTCAATACAGGCTTGTCCCAGGCACCTGGCATGTAGATCGTCGTTCTGGAAAGTCTCAAAATTTATATGAAGTCTTTGTAGCACGGAAAGCATGACATACCCATTCTACTCAAGTAACTCACAACATCTTTTGGCTCTAGTGCTCGAGTTGACGCAAGAGTAGTCTGATGTGAAGCATGTCTGGTGCTTGGCCGTAGTTGCATTCATGTTGTCTGGCCATTGCAAGAAACGCTGGAGTGCGGGAGAAACAACAATCTCACACAAAGCAGCTTCTGACTATGTTGGCTAAGTCTCACAGCAGCAGATTTCGCACATCAGCAATCACAATCAAGCCGAATGTAACTTGAATTGTCAGTTGTTCACGCATATCGCATGCTAGCACAGGCAACATTTCAAAGCGATGACCCAGAACAGGACATCACAACTCCATACCGGAATCATACCTACTAGCCAATCATAAGCTGGTCCAATCTTCCAAACATGCTTTGGGTGGATGGGTGGCGAAGGTGCAAGGGCCCATCCGGAAGCTTCACCATCTACGTGCCACATGAATTCCGCGCTCAATAAGTCTGACTCCTACCGTTTGTCCAACTTGTCATCCCGGTAATTACCTGAGAAATAATGCCGACACTGCTGGTATTGTCAACGTCCCCTGCGATAGGTAGCCTTGCACATAGCCCTGGGTTGAGCTCGCGCCCAAATCAAAAGTTCGCGGTGATTTGGGCCATAGTAAGAAAATGATAGATACAAAGCCGGCAAGCCCGATGCCACCACGCCACAAACTCATAAGCCACATGGATCAGGCAACAACCACAGAAGACAGGGCAGCCGGGTGGCTTGATATGGCCACGTCGCGTCGAGCATGGTGGCAGCAGGGTTGTTGTCCGCATCGACACCTTTCTCGCTGCGCGGCTGGGTTCGCGGATGGCAACGCCGTCATGACAACTGGGCAGTGAAGGTGGCTCGAAAAAGAAGAACGTCAAACGCACCTCCTTGTCTTCAGGGCAGGGGCAGTAGTTGGCGGATCATGTTCAACACCTATTCTCAGCAAAAATACCCCATTCCCGTTGGACTTGGCCCTCTTTGATTTGCTCGGAGCAAGCCTGTGAATCCTATCACACCAAATGCAAAGGGGTGTTTGGGCCTTGTGCATGTCTTGGGAAAAAAGGCTTGCCACGGCCTGCCCCAATACAGTAATTGCCTCCCTGTTTAACCCACCCCACCCTACGGGGGCCATTGCCACCCACAACGAACACAATTCAACTGCATAGTCTGTTTTGTTCTGTGCGCACGAATCCACGTCTTGCACAAAATGAACGGCAGTCAGGATGCAATCAACCTGCAATTGAACAAATGTAGAGTGGCTTACAGTAAATCGCTTGTGCAGTATGCTCCAAAATCCGATGCGTCCGGACTCAATCGCTGCCAGGCAGCCGATATAGATTGCATTGAGGCCTGGGCACGTAACCAGAACTCATCTCAATGGAAATTGGCCTTCCCTCCTGCAAATGCCAATCAGGAAAGAAAACATCTGCGCCAACACGTAGATTGAGAAAGGAGAAAAACTGACTCCCCCATTGCGGTTGCTATTGGGCCATCAATACGCAGCCTGCAAGCCAACAACTTTGCTGGCTCTCTGATCTTCTTGCGTGGGCCTTGCCGCCTCGCATAGCTTGCCATCCAAAGATCTGAGAATGAGCATGCTGTGGACTTGGGCAGCACGTTGGAAGCCACACAAAGTTGGGGTCGGCAGTGTTGGCCATCGATGCCTTTCCAAAACACGATGGCAAATGAGTGCGGCCACATGCCGTGAGGCCTGAGACCACAAGTTTGTTCTTGAGGTGCTGCAGGCAGCGGATTGACTATGTCCAGGATTCAGCCGGAATTCTCAGGATACTCCCTGCATGACCCGTTTGAAGAAGGGTGCAACACACGACACGCATGTCCATGTTGAGGATCAATTGGTTTATAGGCGCCTGCTTGCCTGCGTGCTTGCTTGCATGCTTGCCCCTGCACTGGCTGCTCCTGGTTTCCAACCGTTCTCTTTGAGGCTAAGTCTGTTGCATCCAAAACGGAACTCGATTCTCATGCCCGACCTGGAGCGGAAGTACTTGTTGAACCCATGCCCATGCCCATCCATGCCCTGGGTCAGCTTCCAGGCTTTTGGGTCCCCCATGCACGAAAGGGGGCAGCACCTTGCGCTGGCCAATGAATTCCAAACTCTATGGGACACCAATGCAAGGGAAGCCAAGCAATCCATCGTTCAGCATCTTGCGCCGGGACCTTGAAGCCACTTAGTCTTTTGCCAAGGTGAACGTACATGGCACAAGTCATGTGGGCGTTTCCCTTTATCTGAAGCAAAACAAGCAGCTAAACCGACTGCACGGGCGAGGTGGTGCCATCTCTCACCACCCAACTGCCCCTCTGAACCACCAAAGTCCAAAGGGCTGATCACCAGCAGCGTCAGCTTCTCGAAGCGCTCGCTTCGGGCCTTGGGTCCAAAATCCGATCGCCCGGCTCACCATGTGACTGCAAAGGTGCTTGAGCTAAGCATTACGCACCAAACGCTTCAGACAGGGGGCAACCTGCCGGCTCCCAAGAATCAGGTAATATCTATCACTCAAATGCCCTGCAATTGCGAGGGCAACTTGGATCCACGACAAGTGGCTGTAGCTTGCATGCATCCCGACGTCTTGTAGAAGTTGCGGACATCGTACCTCTGACCAGTGCGGCTCAACGTCTTCAAAAGACACCGATTGCCCTATGAAAAAGATGTCGCCGAGAGCCCGAAAAGCTCTGCTGGCACCAGCTGGCTTCGAATGCATCGTTTCACACGCCCACCTACTGTGTGCATGGTGAGTCATGTGAGATGCTCAAGGGAGGCGTCAACGTTCTTGTACTTCTAGGTGTTGAATGCAACTTACTATCATTCATCATGCTTTGCCATGACTTTCCCCAATGCATCCGCTATGTGTTTGGAAACTATCCAGCCAAGTATTCGGGGTTGCTCCAACCCTTTCATTCTGCAACACCTTTGCAAAACAAAATCCTTCAATGACGTGCATATTTGCTGCCTTTCACCTTCCCTTCCTGTTACTTTTCAAGGGTGTCAACTGCTATCGCAGAAGATCGCACGCCGTTTTGAGTGCCGACGCTAGGTCAAATCAAACCCACCATTCAAACAAGTTGGTCTTGGTCGAATACGGGTTGCGTTCTGCAGAAAGTAGGGTATGGCGTGCTCTAAACAACACCTGACACATCCTGACACCAGCTGCAACAGGATGATTTCTGTTGTCGACCCTGCGGAGATCAGCATTGGGTAGGAAGGGTGACACATGTCTGAAAGGCGGACCAGCCATTTGATAACATCCAGTATCAACTCCTCAAGAAGTCACCAGTCATTGAGACTGCAAAGGCCCGCCTTAGTCCTGGGACTGACTGCCACGGTTCGAGCTAAGTGCGTGGCAGGTCCTCGTCCAGTTTGGTCTCCTTGTGATCACCCTGAGCTGCAGCGGCTGCAGTCCGTTTGAGGGTCTGAAGCAAACATAGCCACTATCCACTACTATGCATATATCGACTTATACCCAAGTTAGCATGGATTGCCCGGGTTGTGGAGGATACACCGCCAACAAAATCACAACAACGCTTTTGCACGGCGCTGCCTTGAAGCCTGGAAAGCTCCTCCCGATGTCTTATCAGGTTGGCAAGCTGTCAGGTCATTTGGATCACACGGGCGGTACACGGTCACGTGCACACACACACACAAACACACACAAACACGCACACACACACACACCACACACACACACACACACACTTCAACACACACACAGTTCAACACACACACACAGAGACAGACACAGACAGGCACAGACACACACAGACACACACAGACACACACAGACACACACACACACACAAAACAATCATGTGATCATGCACACACACAGACCCATATAGCACAAACTACTCAAACACAGACCACGTCAAACCACATCACAGGCTCACACGCACACACCACACGCAAAGATACACATATTATGCACAATCAAGTTGAGGCATCTTGTCAAAGAAAACCCGTTTTGACATGAGGACAAGTAAAGGCCCCCTAATAAAGGATGTGTCTAGATGACCTTCTTGAGGTCCAGTTCATTGTTTAGTATTGCTGCATCTCTTTTTTTTGGTTGGATTTGAGTTTCCATTTGGTTTAGTATTGGTAGGCTTGAGTTTCCATCTATTTTAGTTTTGCTGGAGCTTCCTTTTTTGAGATTGATTTGAGTGCCGATTTGATTTTGCATTGTTGCATTCAGTCTTCAGGAGGGTACGTGTTTGTCTTTATTCCAGGTAACTGTTTTGACTTTCTCGGCCAGCCTCTTGTCTTTGTTTCGGGCTCATATCTTCAATCCTAACTCAGCATTGGATGTTCTGCGGGGGCAATCGCTAAATGGCTAGCCCTACATCTCAGTTCGCAGGGTTACTCGGAGTGCCCGTCTTGGAAGGATCGCCAGGGATTGGTCCAGCATAATAAGAGGCTTGCAGTGGTGGGTGGGGTGCCGCTTTCCGCATGAAGAGCCTCTGAGCACGCTCCACGTATTTAGGCTGGCCTACCGGACCGGGACACTGCGAACATTGGTTCGGATTTGGGTTCTTATCGTGCAGTCTGATGAGGGGTGTTGACCACCTCGAGCAACGTGGTATAAGTCTGAAAAGAAATGCCAGCTAATCGGCGCGAAGCGGATTTTGTCCATGCAAAGTGTGATAAGAAAAAAACAAAAACATATGCCAGGTCTTGGCTTGCAAACTTTGAGTCCTAGACACTCTGGGAAAATATTCACGCTTGATGCTGCATCACATCTCTCATGCGAACTATGCAAGCTGCAAAACAAGCACCATCATGGATTCCATTCGGCACGGGCTCTTGCAAATACACTGTCGCTTCAAGGGTAAAGGCATGTAATCTAATTTATCTTGCTTATCTCTTCATGGACCACCCACGTGAACTGCTCTTGAACCACCATTAACCATCCTGCGAACGGCTTCCTGCCTGGCATAGTTTCCCTACATCCATACTATGCACGTTGAGCATGGTCAATTTCATGGTTCTGCCCTTTCAACAATAGTCTCAAGAACCTGAGGATCCCCAAATCCAGGATGTACATAATTACATCCTGATGAGCTCGTGTTGCGCCCTTCCCCAACGCCCCCCCCACGGCCGAGCAAGCGGTATTCCGAGCCCAGCTGCAGCTCCGAAAACGCCCGCTTTCATCCGGATGTCTCGAGTTTCCTCGTCCTGGGAGCTGGGCAACGGGCCGTCCGCGGGTTCTCGACGGAAACCCTAAGGCACAAGACTCCAAGAGAAAGTTCGCCTTCGTGACTTAGGAGATTCTGCGAAAGGGCGCGAAAAAAATAAACCGTGTGGTCGAACAAGTCGTGATCAAGAAGGCAACTGATGTTCACCTTAGCTTGGTATTGGTATCCTTTGCCAACTTTGTTTGAGGGACCTCAGTTGTTGTTGTTTTTTTTTGGGGGGGGGTTATTAATCAGAGATAATCAGAGGTGGACATGATCCACAAGGTTCCAAGCCTTTGATAGCCTTTGCCTTCCCAGCCAACTCCGGAGGCTCCTCCTTCAGGCCCACCGGGGCGCCTTTGTTGCGCACGCTCATGCGCCGCGTCTCGCGGGGGTTCTTCGGCCCCGGAGCTTTGTGCCTCAGCCGGCAAAACGGAGAAGGATCGCCGGAGCCTTCTGCGAAGGCACGCCCCAAACGGCGATCAATGCAAAAGTCCAAAGGTCATGAATGGTCATTTCGGCATTTGACACCTTGGGGCTTCCTTCGCAAGGCAAATCGCAAATTTGGGTAGCCCGCCGAGCCGTATACACCGCAGCTATCCAACATGTCTAACGGCAAAATCGACAGCTGGAAGTGACAGCACTCTTCCTAAACATGGGTTTACCATGAAATGCATGGCAACTATGTCGGCTGATGACGGGCATCTGCCTTGCAAGCTGCCGTCACAAACAATGACCTTTCATTGCAGCGAGCAGCAAGCCAGAGTCTGAGTGCGGAAGGGCAGCAGGTATGCAGCCTGGTGGTTCCTGCCAGGGATTCCGACACTTGTGTTGTCTTCATTTGTCGCTTGCACATTGGGTGCTTCCCAGCCTTAAGGCATCGTTTTTTGTTTTGGCTTGCCTGTTTGGGTAGAAGGTTGTTTACCACATGTCCATGCCCTGTTCAGTTCCCACAGGGCGCAGTAGACTTCTCCCAGGGAATGTTTATCACTCGCCCGAGAAAAGCCCAGGCAGCCTACTTTGCATGCTGTGTGGCCACTGCTTCCCGCGGCAGAAATGTTGCTGTTCGATGCACACACACAACACGCATTTGCACCAAAAGCTAAAGATGAAACATCAAATCAAAAGCATCCAAGACTTGTTCCACAAAGGCACGAGTGCTAAGGTTCTTCAGATGGGCGCCAGGACAAGCACCTGGCAACTATGATTGGCCCTGCCTGGTCTCCAAGAACGCTGCCATTTAGCCCGTCTGGTGTAACGCTCATCACTCCTTGGCTTCAAGACGCACTTTCTCGCTAACATGGAACCCAGCAAAGGGTGGCTTTTAAAAGAACGTGATCTTCCAGAGCCCCCCCCCCCCCAGGTTCCATGTGGATACAGTATACAGCAAACACTTGATCAAATGACTTCTGATATTCGAGCTTGAACCTGCGACGGGCGACGCCCCCCAAAGCAAACGAGAGATCCAGTCGGATTTGTCTCCAAGGTTCGGGGGACCTGATCTAAGACCTTGGAGTCCACGGCCCAGTTCTCTTGTCGGTCTGTGGGCATCCTCCGCCAGCCTGAACCGAAGCTCGGCTTTCCGGCCAAAATCCGAAGCTGGACAGAAGACGGGGCAGAAGCTCAAATTCCCGGGTGCCGCAAAGGTTTGAAAGTCACCAAAGAACCCGAGAATGGATGACATTTGGGTCACTCAATAGGCCTGCGCCTCCAAGCCTCTCAACACCTTTTGCGATTCACGCCCCTCAAGGAAACCCCTGCTTCAACTCAGGGGCAGGAGCTCTCAGTGCCTTGACTTCTTGCTGGGGCTCGGCAGTTCTTGGGATGCTGCCCTCAAACGGCTTAAACTTGGATGGCTCAACCTTCGGACCCCAGCTGTTGAAAGAGTTTCCAAGCGCCCTCATGTAGCCAACCAATGAGAAGGAATGGGAAGGGAACTTATTTTGAGACGGCCCAATCTTTGCTTTCCGTGTTGCAGAGGTGGCCGTGATTAGCGGGGTAAGACCGCGTACCAACCACATTTGGTGCATCGGTTTTTACAATGTGGATCAAATTTAGCTGGGAACAAACAAAGCAGGCCAAGTTGGGAGCCATGAAGAGTAAACAGGTTCAGGAACAAAACGTGATATCTCGTGCAACTCGTGCATAGGTCGAGTGCGCTAATTAGTCATGCATGCTATACTTTAAACTGCTGAATCCGATAGCCCCATGCCACAGCAAAACTGGGCAAACCAACTGACGTACTGCCGTGAAGGCCAGGAGCAGGCCCCCAGTTCCATGAGAAAACAAGGGATCCCCCGTCTCAAAGTCCAAAGCCAACAATGCCGCTCTCAATGTTAAGGCCTGAGAGTCAGCATGCTGTGGGGCCTGATTGTAATGCCTGCATTTACGAACTGCAAACCTCAGTTCTCCTACCTCAGTTCACACTGGCCGTGCTAGCCCATTAAACGATCCGAACGCGAACGTCTGCAAGGTCAGTGTGAGTCGAGTCAATTCACCAAAAGCCGGCACGGCTCTGGATTCACCCGCATGGCAAATGCCCGTTACACATACAGTTTCAGTGAACCCCCGGAATTCACCTTGTGCTCGTCTCTTCGAGAAGCTTAAATAATTGTGTGTCTGCCACGTCTCGTCGATAAGTTGCTACAATCACGCTGAGCTGCAACGTCAGAAGCAGGAAGCTTAGGCATTTAGCATCTGCTTCTCGTGAGGCTTCTCTAGATTAATTGTCCTCTGCACCAACTAGCATGTTCTTCTCTAGCAGTTGTTCTCCAGCTTGCAGGTCAAATCCATGACAGGGATCACGCACGTTGCCTTCAATTGCAAAGCGAGTTTAACGAAGAACCGCAGCAGGCATGGAGCGCAGTCTTCTGATCAAACACAGCTCGGCTGCTCTCCAGTGAAGAAGAATCATGAGGCGAAAGGTGTGGAACTACTGAGATCCGTATTCAGGGAACCGGCTGCTCCCTCAGATCTGGCAACCCGCACCTTCCGGAAAATCGTCGATGGCCGGTGTTCCCGGCTTCTCCTGCAAAGCTGTGGGAATCCGAAAGCCCTCAAGCATGCCTTTCGAGCATACCTTTGGTCTTCGCAGAACAAAATGCTGACATGTCCCGCTGAGTCCTAATCACAAACCACAACGACTGTTTTTTTTCCAACAAAACAACCTGAACCCACTCAGAGTAGTCAGTGCAACCAATTGTTTGTTACTATGCCGTGCAAACCAAAACATGCTGGAGGTCTCCGCTTTGACCGCCTCGCACAGAGCTATGCATTCAGCTATGCAGCCGGACCAACTGAGATGTGCAAAACGAGTCACGCGCTTTTTGGCGTGGCACACGCGCCATGCTTCTCCAACCCGAACATGCAATTTCCATGGAACCCCCATCCCAACCCGAAGCAATGGATGGAATCCCCATGGACGCTCTCGGAGCTCGGCCAACCAGCCAACCCCCAGAAATTCGCGCCTTGCCGGGTGGCCGCGGCGCCTGGCCGCGCAGTAAAAGGTAGACTTTGGAGCTATGAGCCATAGGGGTCCATCAAGCCTTTGCCATGCCACAGATGCAGACCTTGCGAGAAAATCAGGCAGAGGGCTTGAATGATGTGTTATTTATCTTTGTCAGTCATTACTTGAGGGTGGGGGAAACCAACATCGCCTGCTTTGCTCAATAGGTATCGGGGACAAGGGCACGCTTTTTGTTGGCCGATTGCTCACACAATCGGAACGCGGCACTGGACAATGAACATAGGTATAGGCAAAGATCCCTGCCCCCTCTTCAAAGCACCCTATTGAGAAGTACCATTTTTCCTAAGAACCCGGATCCCCAATACACTTGTAGAATGGGCCAATTCTACAATACCAACTGGCTGGCTACCTCAACCTGACCTTAGTCTTATTAGGGGACTCTCCAGGACCCAAGCTTCCTATGCCAACACATTGCCAACCAGAATTGACAAAACCGAGGTCCTTCTTTCCTCTTCAAAGTTTGTACTACAACCAATGGACCAATGGACAAAGCAGCCATTGAACCGGGATCTGAAAGCTCCCTGCACTAACCCAATGCTAGCCAGAATGGACAAAACCAAGGCTTCTGGTTGCTTTCCTTCTCCCGCAAACGATAGTTCTTAATTGGGCGTGCTCTCCAAAACAAGTAAACAAAGGTTAACCTGTGCCGACCAAAACCAACCAAAATAAACAGACCTCCCTCGCTTCAAGAAATTAATACATTTGCTTCTGGGGGAGCCCATCTGACCCAAGTTATTGTATTAATAAGTGTCGTTTGGCCACGAATACGAGTATGTCTCACTAAGGGGAAGCAATTAAGCAAGCGATGCTCATCCAAGCGTCCTGCCTAAGCTATCTGCCTGGCTGCTGAGTCTTTCGATGAGTTCCAACATGACCGCAGACCCACACAGCCAGCTTCTGAGCATTGGTTGCACTGGGTCTGCCCCCGACGAAAGCACGAATCAGTAGCTAGCAATACTAAGCCAGTTCTTAACCAGCAGGACTCCCAGACTATTCAGTACTAAGCAAGAACAAGCCAATGATGGAGCAGTAATTCAAAAGCAATACTAACCCAGCACTAGACCAATGACGCCAACATCAAACTACGACGGACAAACATTCAAACCAGGACTCACTAAACCAATACTACAGCAATCCTCAACCGATTCTCACCAAAAAAAAAGAAAAGCAAATACCGAAGAGGACTGCAAACAACTGGGAAGCCCCAGCTCTGACCTCAATCAATTTGCGTCAAGTGAGGGTTAGCCCCTTCTGTGGAGCGAGCAATTTGCTGCAAGCTTGTTCATGTGGCAGTCCAAACGCCTCATGTCATGTATCGGCACTGCTGAGGCAGCATCTGCAAGGTTCAAGTTCTGGCCAGCCGAGCACAAAGGACACATCTGGGGCAATTCATGCATGCTGACTTAGCCACATTTCAACAGGTTGTTGCCCAAAACCATGGAACAAACAGGAGAAAGCAAGTCCGAACGGGAGAGGCACCTCGCCGATATGCCGGCCACCCCTCAAGTCCCTTCAACCGAGTCGCCTTCATCAGGTCCCGAAGCCTTCCCTCTTGCGCCTGGAGCCTCACATGAGCCACACGGAGCACTCGCATGGCGCGCTTAAAGCCAGCCAGTTGCGTTCCGAATCAAAGAACCTTTGTTGGATCGGAACAGTCCACCCTCAGCCAGGGAGGCGGCAGACGAAGCAAGCAGGGCTGTAAAACTTGTAAGTGAGGGGGGGGTGTAAGAGAAACCGGCGTCCGGAAGCGCATTGACCAATGAAGAACGGAAGCCTGGTTAGCGAGCTGAATCCGACCATGCCCCCTACAGCTCTAACACCTCGTTGCTGCCTAGTTCCCTTCCGACTAAGCGCGCAAGGCCGGTAGGTTTCAATTCCATCTTGAGACATACTAAGTTGCCCTCAATATGTTGTTCGCGCTGGGCCACGGAAAACGCCTACCATCAGCACAGAAAGAATGCCCGTCTGTCCCCTTTGAGCGAAGGGCTCTTTGCGGAGATCCTCCTGCAAAAGCTCCCTGAGCCTCCTGAGATCCTGATGCCACGAAAACGTGGCATGGGGTGGGCTGAACATGTTCAAACCAATTTGATTGAAACCAAGTCCGGCGGTTTCCCTTGAAAGGGGGGCAAAGTGTGGTTGTTCAAACACCGTCTGCCCACGGGGAGGAGGGCTGGGTGAAATGGATCCCAGATCGTGTGTCTCATTGGGACCTGCTCAAGGGGAGGCATGAGATACCGTGGGCATAAGATGATATAGGGCATCTCCAGGGAAGCCATGCGTTTCCATGAGTGCTACATCAATAGCACAAGTTCTCAAATGCTACACCTGACAGCTCCACTCTAAATTCCTTGATGGTGTCATCTTCCGGTCGCCATCTTGCGGGGAAGTGCTATCTTCGGTGCTGCTACCTTGTGTGACACGGCAGCTTGCTGCTTGCCGATGGCCGCGGAAACTGCACTTCATCCCAAGCCAGGACCAGCTGAAAGGTTTCCTGGTGACCCGTGTCTGCACAAGGCCCAAAAAAAACATAAAGAGGTCAGAAGATGTTGCTCAAAGGCAATCTAGGCAGATATGTCCAGGTGCAAGCATGAAGGAAGCCTCGGGTCGCGAGGAGGCTGGTAAAGACCGGTTCTTTGCTGCAGCGAAAAGTAACCCGAAACACTTCACTGAGGGCGTATCTGAAGTGGGGTTGCGCTTCAACTCCCAGTGCTCAAGGCTCCTGTGTGAGACCATCGCCGCCCCACATGGCGGGCTGCGCGGAGCAGAATACGCGAAAACCGTATCAATCAAAGAAACAGCCACAAACGTGTCACATTGTCGAAACATATTGAATGTCGATTGGCTGGCATATTTGCATAATTCCCAGTTGTGGGAGTCCTCTCTCGCTGTCTCCCTGTATCTTTCTCGATTTCAAGGTGCCAGAAACTGCCTGCGTGGCAGTCCCTGAAGGCTCCAGCGAGCTTAGGCGAGCCTTCGTGTCCTTGAGTGGCAAAACGGCCGCAAACACAAACCCTGAAACACTTTCCGCGCGAAACTGCTATAATGCGATGAGTCGTACGAGGTTGATCTGACCAGAAGCAGTCGATTTAGTATGTTGTTGGGTTGACACTGCCAAATCACCGCATCATTGGACAGAAAGGGCGGCTATGATCCAGTGCGCAAGCACCCCTCAATCATCGGAACGCTGACGGAACTTCGCCACCGTTCAACTCGCAAACGAGGCTTAATGTGCGGCCCAAGTTGGAGGAGCACCCAACCGTCTTTTGTTGCAAAGGTGGCTCCTTATCATGGGATGCAAGCATTTGTAGCGCGTGCTCCTCCTGACCATCGAGCACACTCAATGCCTGGAGTTGTTGGTGCAAGTATGTCCAATGGGCAAACAAAATCAAACACACTCTTGCAGTCCGGTTCCGTGACTGATTTATTCATTGACATCATCTGACTCTTGGTCACCGCGCCAGATTGTTTTGTTCCGTTGTGGTTGGGACAAAGCCAAATGACAAACAGAACGCCATGGCAAAAGCGACAGGCCCGCCTTGACGATCAGGCCTGCCAGGGCATAGAGTTTGACATCCCGACCATGCTGCTGCAAATCCCAGGGTTTCAAAGTAAAAACTTAGATTTGGGTTCCAGCCACGAAACGAAAAGAACAAACTTGCCTCGGCCCGCACGGCTGAGAAGCTGTCAGGCCTCATAAATATGCATGCTGTAAAGTATGTTGACCTTTCCTGTCCACCACACAACAAAAAATAACGGTGGGGCTATGCCCCAGCCCTGTTGCCCCAACGCAAATCAGTGTTGCCTAAGCCCCTGTTTGGCCCCTGCCGCTCGAGGTCAAGTTCTTGGTAATCACTTCCCCTTGCAGCCTGCCAGACTGCCCACCATCCCCGGCATTATTTGCTCAAGCCATGTGTCAATCACATTGCAAGTTCGTGCGACGGCCTTGCCTCCTACGCAGGACGTTGAGTGTATCGTGCGATGGCTGGGAAAGAGTTTAAACTTGCTCCAAACTGGTCTGACAAAATCTGGCATTCGACTGAAATTTGATGAAATGCCTTGGAAGCCGAGCCTCGATCTTGCTTCACTCCATGCTAACCCATGTCCCTCAGCTCCAAACTCGGATCTCCGGAATGGCCAGGTGGCAGTTTTACACCCGCGCAACTTCTAGAAGCCTTTGCGGTGACGGGCCCGTTGGATCCCTTGGGCAAGTTCAAAGGTACACCAGGGCACAAAACAGCCGGGAAAGTGAATGGGACTTAACCAAAACGGGGCGTGAGCCATCTTTGTCCCCACTTGCCCCACCTGTGGCTGGGGGTCACAACAGGAAGTTGTCAGACTGGCAAGGCCAAAAAAGGAAGGTCCCAACATCATGCACAGCTTGGAGCAAACCATGGATGAAGACTCCGCTCGGCATGCACGAGATATGGATGGGGGCAATCCTGTTTGCAGTGAATCAGGCTTCGGCCTTGGCAATGGATTGGCAAGTTCACGCATTTGGCACCTTTAAGGTTGACCCCAATATGTATCAACCCCAGTTTTTTTGGTAGGGGGGGTTCTGGGTTTAGTCGTGAATCATAACTTTTGCCCCCATCCCCCTACTAATAAACTGGGATTGATTAATATGGGGTCGAAATTCTCCATGAGGAGGGCAGGGTCTTGCATTTGCGGCAGCTTTGTAGGCTCAATAGATCCTTCCTGACCTGGAAAGTAACGAAGGAAGGGTGATGATTAATTCGGTTTCCGACCTGCCCTTCAACGTTCTTGTCCTGCACTGACTGAGCGAAATCATCTTTCGAAGAGTTGCACTCTGATAAAGCACTGTCACATAGATAACGTAAAGCTGACTAAAGCAATTAGATCCCAACACAGGATCCTGCCACAAAACTGGCGAGCGGCAACACCTTCTTTTCAGAACCGGCAAAAGTTATGGTCGTGTCGATCCCGTAGCCGTGTCTGCCCTGGTCCGACATAGCACTGGTGAAGTATCCGAAGATGATGGTGAAGGGGATTTGAACCCGCTCCAGCCCCTTGGTACCCTCACTGGCCCGACCAGTGAAACTCTGGGATTGCTCCGAAAGCCTTGAATAAGCTCGACTCGGAGAAAACACCGGGATGAGAGCATGTTGATGTGACAAGGCAGGCTCTGCCCCATGTCCGCCGGCATGATCAATCTTGTGAAGCCAACACTTCCCCAGTGCATTCAAGGATTGGAAGCTTCGGGTACCCCATGGGTACTGTAGGTACTACTGAACATGCTCACAACCCGTGTGAGGAAGGTATTTAAAGCTTACCTTGTTGCTTTAGATATGAACATTGGCACAGCATTGAGCCTAAATGGTTCGACATGTTCTCGAGCTCCGAAAGGGCTGGTCGCCCTGGTTTTGTAAATGGTTGTAGTAATAGCATGTGGGGCTGCTTGCGACTGGCATGAAGAAACACACACACACACACATTCCCGCCAATCAACCAGTCAAAGATGCACACCAAACGACATAAACACACATAAACCTCCCACAAAGCAGAGTCCTTCCACGCCGTGTCCCCTGGTGTGAGGGCGACAATGGCTTATGGAAAACTCGGCCAAACCTTTGGATTCGGAGCATCCCGCGCTGCTTGGATAACCCCAGCAAGCGCTTCCGGTCGGTGCTCTACCAGACAGATGCAGTGACATAGCATGACGAACAAAGCAACGCAAACAACTCAGGATGTACACAATGACGGAGCAAGCATGAGTCGCAATCATGCCATGGATCACATCATTGCACATTCCATGAAGGGATGACTTCTCGCAATTTGCGGGTGCGCTCACAGGCTTGACGCCTGCAGTTGTCGCCCAAGTAGGAGGATGGGCCATGCCTTAATTGGAAAGAACACATTAAAAACAAAAAAAAAAACAGTGACAAGGGAATGCGCGGATCAAGCAACGAACGCTCCATTGTTTGTTCCGCAATCTTCGGGGAAAAGGCCCCCGGCCAATCATTCCCATTTTGATGTGCGTAAAAGATCGTGTGCACTCTCTTCTTCTTGATGTAGCTTCTGCTGTTGCTTGCTTCAAGGATATATGTTGTATCGCCCAACCACGCCAGGAATGAAACAATCAAAACACAACTGATGTTCCAGTACGGTACTATAAACAAGCGCAATGCTACTGACCAAGTTTGCAAATTCCATTGTCCGCAAACGTCGCTCATTTCCGCTTCAGAGGCAAGACAAACCCAATCTTCTGGCTGACGAAGTCTATGTTGATAAGACTATCTGCAATATCTTGCAGTGACTCTGACTTTTCCAATCCAAAAGTTGACAGTGACACAAACAACGCAGGCCCCTCGTCCCTCATGGCCCGCTGCCCGTCCAAAGACATCCCGACTAAAAAGCCCTGCATCGCCTGCAGTGGCGAATTCGTCCCAGACCAACTTCCAAGATGCCCAGGGGCTGCAAGCAAGACCCATGGAACACATCCAGGGTCAGTTGCACAGGCCGCTGAAAACCCAGGGCGCCGGACGTACTGCCAGCTGGGAGGCCAGAACTGAAAACTGAAAACAGCACCCAGTCCGCCAACAGGGAGCAAAGGAAAGAGGCTGGGCCGCATGAGCCGAGGTTGTCAGAACATTGCAGCGCAACCTGAGACACATGAGTCCCAAAGGCCTTGAATTTAAGTACTCGTCCCTTCCCTGCAGCGCTGCAAGCACTACTAGTATTGCAAGATTCACGCCTGAATAGACGCAGAGCACAATCCCTCCTGAAGCCAGCTCCAGGCGCACTGATCAGAAAGCAGCATGGTTCAAGGGCATTCTGAAAGTTATGTGTAATTACACTTTGACCTGGACTGGATACGTCACTGTAGACATGTTGGGGCCTGGACATCTCAAAATATCACAGCGTATGGGTTTCTTTACGAAGACTCAGAATTGCGCGGATAAGATGTGCAATGGGAGCAAGCATCAACAGATTCTGAGCAGGATGATGTCTTTTCTTGCCTTGTAACAAGCAGGGCGCAAGCAGCCCTGGCGCGGCCTAAGAAAGTGGCCGGTCTTTCGAGTGCGCCTGGGTGTTCTAAGAACACTTCCACCTAAGCCCGCAGCTCGGGGACATCCCCGTGGGCGCCGGGTTAAAGAGGTACCGGCTTCTGCTCAGGCACGTGCTTGCTCGCGCACATTCGCTGCGGCACGCCAGAACTGTTGCCTTCTCAAAGGCGCTGGTTGGTCCAACGGACACAGAACTTCTCTTTTGCAGTTGTGAACAAGACTGGAAAGCAGTCCGGAAGTGCTGCTGTTCCAAAAGGATGACTGGGAAAAAACGGCAAACCTGCCCAATCCCCACACCCTCTTCAGGTAGGGACAGGCGGGTGTTGATCTCACAACTGCCTGTAGAGCCAATCGAATTAGGAATTGTCGCTCGCGAGGCAAGCAATAGGACTATCACCGGAAACCGTATGATTCCGGGTGCCCCTAGGCAACACCGCTAACGGTTGCCTGACGTAAGCCAGGCCAAAGGGGCCAACAGTTGAAATCGGGCTCCAAATTCTCGCCGGTAACTGGTGCCATGTCGAGACAATAATGCATGTTTGGTGATGTTGCATCTGTCCCTAAGGCATGCGCAGTGTAACGTGAATAAACCACAAATCATGTTGGAAAACTATTGCTTGCGCTGTCATAGCCACTTACTCGTTGTCTCTACCAGCATTCAACACACCGAAGCTCAAGCGACCGGGCACCAGACTCCGGCAAGTGTTCCTGGGGCAAAATC